AAAGCTGTGAAAGTGTTTAAAGAGGTGTTCTCCTGGTGAAGAGTCCTTTCGTGGAGGGCTCAGGGAGGACAGAGGTACTATAACAACGTGCTCTCAGAGCCACTCACCCGCCAAGAGAATGGGTAACAGGGGGCACACCTGGAAACTCCTGGCTACTTAGTCAAAGGTAACTGCAGCCTTTGGTGTTAAGTGAGTCCCAGTCGTCCAGACTTGAAGTCTAAAAGCAGAAACTAGAAGAAAAGGTAACATTGTCTACTCAACATAGCAAGTGGCTGAGTTCTACTCAGTAACCATCCTGAGTTCACTGCATGGAGAAGCATCCCATCAGATTCTTTTCTCTTCGTGGGACTGGACAAGGCAGCAAAAGCCTGTCAATCCTTTGAAACTGCCCTAAGAATAGCCTGATTTCACAGTTCATAGAAACTATAAGCCAACGGTAAAGGGATACCAGATGCGCTAATCTGGGGTAATCTACTCAATGAGCAAAACCACCAACATGTGCAGCAGATTGTGGAGACAATGAGTTACAAAACAAGAAGCCTGCTCACTATAATGTACTGTGCACTCTGAGAAAATAAGGCACATGAATGGGAAGGATCAACAGGCGGTGCAAGAAGAATGCCAACTGCCATGCACAGAGAACAAATACATGAAATCGGGGGTCAATACCTCGTCGTCTAGTCCCCCGTCCTGTCCCCCCCCCAACCCCGCCCCCGCTGTAATTCAAGACCGTTCTTAGCCATGTGGGCACAGAAATTTATCTCTTCCTTTTCGTAAAGACCTGATTTCAGCACCCAAACAACGAAAAATCAGAAGAATAGGTCTGCGTGAGAAGGGAAACCATAAAATAATGCTGACGAAAATTCTCCCTTCTGGAGAGTAAAAAATGACAGAGGAATGTCACAGTCGAATGACTTGTACCTAGTGGCGCATTAAATGTATCTTTTGATTTGACTAAGCGACAAACATTTAATCCCTTTTAACATCAGCTATCAACAGTTGTGTTTAAGGAAATGGCAAAGTAATATTTAGGAAAAAACAAACCCTAGCTCACAATATACTCGGAAGAAGTCTCCAGATATATTCTCTCACTTGGGCGGAGTCCAAGCAGCTCACCTATAAACATTACTTGCTTGGCAAAGAAAATTCGAGAATGGGATAGTGGATACTCAGCCAGGGAAGAAGTGATCTTTATTTTGGTAAAAGCTTGTAATTTATCACAAGCTACTCCTCAGCTAGCCGATCCCTGGAACACTGTGTAAGGTCTACAAAAAGGCATGGGATGCCACACCACCATCTAGGGCAGAGACAGTGGCCTGGACTCCCCCTGACCATGGCACCAGCCCCCCAGCTAACCAGTGGGACTCTCAATTCAATGTAGTAACACTTACGCAGGACCCAAAGAAATTCCAATATTCTGGTATTCCAGTATTCCCATCGCTAGAACGAATTTCACAGCAAACGAAACTATGAACAATTTCCCAGTTAAGAACAGGTCATACCATTTTTAAGCTACATTTCGCTCTATAAAATACATGCACTCAGAAGCAAGTACAAAGTTAGGAGAAAAATATCATAATGTGTTTGTTTTTGTTTACGCTACTACCATATATTATGACCAATGTGGCCGAAGATGCAAAGAAGCTTTTAGAAAAACTACATTTTTTACATCTTTAGTGTCACAAAATCATATAAATCACAGTGCATTTCTTTCAAGTAATTGCTAATAAAATGCACACCAAATTCCTTAAACTATTTATAAAATAGAAAGCATATAACCAGAAACTTCTGTAGAAAATTCTAACTGAAACAAAAAATATTATTATTGAATGGGTCTCATAAACACAAGAAAATAAAATTCAAATTTCTTAGTCTGGATTCAAAACCTTTCAGAAACACATTCTAAACCATTTTTTGATTTTATTTTCTAATTCTCCTCTATAAGAATTCTGCTCAAGTTAAACTGGCCAACACAGTCACACCCCTTTTTCTTAACATCTACTCCTGCCATTCCTCCACCCCAAAGTGCCCCACCCTCAGCCATGCCCTTGACTTTTTCTGGATTGTCAATTTCTGCCCAGCCCTCATGAAACTTCCCTGCATCTCTGACAGCTCACTGCATTGATTCCCTTACACACAGAAAACCATTTCAATGGTGATCTGTTGATTTGAATAAGCATTTCAACAACGTGGGGGCAGAAGAGGACACTTTCAGTTGTCTAAGGTGATAAATCACTTGCCCATTCATAAAACAGTATTTTTTGAGCTTCTACTATGTATAAGATACAATGTCAGGGTCCCTGAAAAACGCTGACGTGCAACTGACATCATCTACTTTCAAGCAGCTTTAAGTCTAGTTGGGAAAATAAGACCAACCCCCGAAGTCATCATAATGAATATAAGCTAGGCAATTATAAACACTCCGCTATGGTTTCTGCTAAAGGAGGGTGAGATTACTTAGTGCAATTGGGGGGGGGGGGGGGGAGTTGCGCAGAGAAGAACTCTGGGAGGAAATGGCAGTTGGATGGACTAGAAAGAAGACATTATGTCCTTAGTAAGTGTTAAGGAAGGCAAGGAGTGGGCAGAGCTTGAGAAGTTAATGGATGAAGCAAGGAGTGATGCTTCAGAATATGTGTCCGTTGCAGAGAAAATGGAACAAATGGGAAAGTAATTTATATTACAAATTAAAGGGGATTAAACATACTGAGAAACTCAGAGGTTAGCACACACTCCCTATATTAGGCAGTGTAATAAGTAGCCAAGAGATGTGGGAAGATTCCACAGGGTAATTACGATATCTGAGAAAAATCATATTATTATAACTTTTTATGATGTTGATTTTTAACTGAACGGTATTCATCACAGTAAAGTCTATTTAATTAGAAGTGATACAAAGAGCTCAAGTAACACACATTGTTAAATACTCTTCCATGTATTATATGAATAAGGCCTAAGTTCCACTCTATCTTCCACATCTGTGTGCTGGTACAATCAATGGGCCCCACGTGAAAAGCTAAACTCAAAGCAAGATCCTGAACTATTCTTCTGGAACATCCAAGAAAGATGATTTTTGTGCATCACATGAAGGGACACTGCATTATATTATAAGGTGTAAAAGGGCAATATGTTACATATATACATATATATAACATTATAAGGTGTAAAATGGCAATGTTATATATATAACATTATAAGGTGTAAAATGGCCATATGTTATATATATATAAATAACACACACATATTGCCAATTACACACACACACATACACACACACACACAGCTGACCCTTGAAAAACACAGTTTGAACCCTGCAAGTGCACTGATAAGTGGATTTTTTGGATAAATACAGTATAGTACTGTAAATGTATTGTCTCTTCCTTACGATTTCCTTAATAACATTTTCTTTTCTCTAGCTTGCTTTCTTGTAACAATACAGTGTATAATACGTGTAACACACAAAATGCGTGTTAATCAACTTTATGTTATTGGTAAGGCTTCTGGTCAACAGTAGGCCATTAGTTAAGTCTTGGAGGAGTCAAAAGTTATACGTGGATTTTGCCTGCACAGGGGTTCGGCACCCCTAACCCCCACGTTGTTCAAGGGTCAACTGTTTATCCTATCACACATGTGGTTAACTCAGTCAGAATCCATGAGACCATGATATTATCAAATAACTGTAGATTGGGGAAAGTTGCTGGCATTAAAAAACAGTTCCTTCTCACAATTGCAATGAAACAGCAAGCCACTATTTCAGAAACTCATTACCCTGAGATTTCTTGGAGAGGGAGGGCGGGACAACCCTGATCCTTCTAAATTTAGACTGCTTAGCTATCCAGGCACTCTCATCTGGTTCAGGTACCACATTCCCAGGCTCATCAACCTGCCCAGATCATTCTCACTCTCAAGAGTAGAAACGGGAAAGAGTCGTTGTGGAGGGTCTCTCTGCTCTTTGTGGAGACACTCCCTTGTCACCATCGGAAAACTAAGTGCCAGAGTATCGATTCAATAAGAAATAAGTCAGTTGACTTCAAGGAAACATCCAAGAAAAGAAAAATGCCTGATTTTAAGATGATCTGTACACTTAGAAGCTTCTAGATGGTAAGAGAAGTGGAGATACACAGCATTGCTTTATTTTACCTATGATTCACTTTGAGTTAACTCTCAGTTTATGAGTCACAGTGGGCATGCCATGCCAGCCTCTTGCTGCCACATATTGACCTGGTATACGGAACCATTTTTAAGAACAGATTATCAAGAGCACTGAGTGGAAGACTTGAAGGAAGGCTCTCAAACCAGTGTAGGTGCAGTGCTCCGTCAACAAAAGGTGAGGTTTTACCAGCTTAGGAGAAGATCAACACCTACAAGCCCTGAGAAGATTTAGATTTTTTTTTTTTTCTCCTCACCCCTTCTCAAGTGATTTTAGAAGTTTGCATGACTGTAACACAACTGCAGGGAAACATGTTTGAAAGGTTATTGGAAGTGACAGATGGACCTATTTTGAAATAAAATTAAGCCTGTGGTACTACTGAAAGGAAGTCACGAAATCCAAAATTAAACCGGACAGAATGCTCTTAAGCTGTTTTTTTTTTTTCTTCTTCTTCTTCAAGGAAGCACCAAGAGTGGGAGGTTGAAGCAAGGCCACTGTCTCTTCTCTGAATGCCTCACCTTGGTCAATTTGGCCTGAGCTTACAACCAGTCTTCTTAACATAATGGGGCACCCCCGGAATTTTAAACCTCCGTATATTTATTGTCGAACATCCAAATGCGTCTTCCACCGATATCACTAAGAACACAACTCTAATCTTGCAGAGATGTGACTTTAAAGATTTAAGGAAAAAAAAAAAAAAACTACAAAGAACATACTGAACCATTAAACGTCCCACCTGGGAGAAGACGAAAAATGCATGCTTCAAAAACCCACTGTCCAACCCAGCCACGTGCAGACAGCATCCACACCGTGGACGGCTTTGCCTGCGGTTCCCAGGAGGAGCCACGCCTACCTTATTATGCTCGTACTTGTAGGGGATCTTGAGCGTGTCCATGGCTCTGATCATAGCCTGCATGGCCGTGAAGATGTTCTGATACACCAGCTTGGTGAAGCCCCTTTTGTCTTCGTCAGAGTAGCCCGACCCATGGATGATTCTCATCTGCTTGATGAACGTACTCTTGCCACTCTCTCCCGTCCCTGCAAGATGGACAACAGCAAAAGAGGTCATCAGACCATGACAGCGTCTCACAATCTCCCAGACAGCTGAACTAGACATGGCGGCTTGGATGCAGCATCCCCGCGCGGCCTGCTGGAGGAGCATCACAGGATGGCGGCATCACGAGAGGGGGAAATGCCACCTGTAGAGAACACTCAGCAAAACTAGAGGATGAGAGTCCATTTCAGAGGCGGATGGAGCTTAAACGCACGCATGCACGCGCACACACGCGCGCGCACACACACACACACACAAACACAACCTGTCACCTCTTTGGAAGCCACTCAGCATGGAATTTTGATAGTGATTTGTAACCACGTATCTTAGGAGAAATACAATGAAATCAGCATCTTTTGAAGAGAATAAACACTTGATAAAGCTCTCCTCCCCGGAGAATATCTGAAAGCCTTCCAGGAGGCTGGGCTGCTAGGCAGGATCTGGATCTGGAAATGACAATGCACTTACACAAATGCTGTTCAAAGAGCAGTAAGAGAAAAATGCCTCGAAATTTCTAGACATTTTCTTTCACTTTAAAATGGTACATAGATATGGAGAGCACAGCATCCAGATAAGAATCAGGAACTTTCTGGACAGCAAGGATCCACTGTATGTGGCTGAGTTATTTCAAGGAATCGCCTAATTCAGAGAAGTCACAGTGACTCTCCTTCCTTCTGCCCATTCTTGACTAATAGCATGATATAGAAATTTACTGTTACTGGATTTTTCTCTTCCATGCTCTTATTTTTCCCCTTTTCAACACCCCTTTTTCTGTTACCATAAGCCTGCAGTCAATCCCTAACAAAGCTACCAATGGCCACGGGAGGAAGAAAAGATAGAAAGTTGGGATTCTATCATTGAATGACAACCTATTGCTTCCACAACAAATCTAAAACTATGAATGTAAAAACTTCATTTTTCCAAATGGAGGTGGCTTCTTCTGTACGTCACTTCATTTCTGAACATTTTCACTCACTTTCAGGCTTCCTTGAGATTTCCAAAACAATAACTATCTCTGTTATCAACAATCCTAACGGTGTAGAAAATGGTTATCAATAATTCTAACAGTGTAGAAAAACACTGAAAGTACCTATTTAGATATTAAACATGGAAGAATAAAATATTAAAACACAGGATGGTTAGCATGTCTTTATTGTCATTTGTGACCTACAAGGTGCTTAAAAACACAAAAGGAAAACTGAAAACTAGGAATACAGTATGTGTCCTAATTTCATTTTGTTTTTCTAGGGGTTAGATTTCATTTTCATCTTTATAAACAATCACGAAAGATTCAAATAAGTATTACGGTTTTCACAGAAGCAATCTTAAATGACTACAGATGTCCGGGTAAACACAGAAGCCTTGCCCAGTTACAGAGGAAGATGATTTCTAACCCCGTGGTCCTGGGTCAGCAACTCCTTTATCATTTTCATATGACTTTTAATAAGTGATCTGGAGTCCCTGAACTATAAAGTTAACACTGCAATGTGAATGCCATCAACCCATTTTAACGAGCTTCATCCCAAGAGTTTAAAACGACTATTTTAGGGGCACCTGGGTGGCTCAGATGGTTAAGCATCTGCTTTCGACTTGGGTCATGATCCCAGGTCCTGGGATCCAGTCCCGTGTTGGGCTCCCGGCTCAGCAGGGAGCCCGCTTCTCCCTCTCCCTCTGCCTCTCCCCTTGCTTGTGCTCTGTCTGTCTCTCTCTCTCAAACGAATGAATAAAATCTTTTAAATAAAAAATAGATAAGTAAAACAACCATTTTATAATCTCAACCATGAATATGAGGGGGGACCCAGAGTATCTAAAAAGTAGCACCTCTGATAGAAATAAAGCAATGAAACTGATCCTCATTATCGATCCACAATGTATAGAAAACAACAGGTATCTTTACTCTCCCAAACATTTCAAAGTATGCAGGAAAAAAAAATCCAGATTGCTTCTTTATTATCCCTTTCCCAGGGGCAATGGCTTGCTCCGAGGGCCCAACCATAGACATAATCATCAAATCAGAATCCCTGCTAGTTTTTTCCACAACAAAAACAAGAAGAAATCTTACTTAATATGTGAGGTGAATGGCACAAGAAGAAAAGGAAAGAGAATCAGGCCATACGGCGTCTTCCTCCTGGCAATCAGAGCAGCTTTTATATACTCATTTGGGTGAGCGTAAAATCTAAAACGTAAAAATAAGAAAGTCGCAGACAAATAAACTACACTGGCTTGTGTTTCACTTCAGTCTCGCCAGGCAAGAGCAGTCAACGCTTGGTACCTCTTTGGATCTAGTCACCTGGGCATCATGCTAATGAAGAGTCTAAACAGAGACAGAATGCGGAACCAATGAATGAAAGTGGGCAAAGAAAGGGGAAAGAAAAAAAAAATCCAAAAATCAACTCCAAAGTAAGACATGTTCCTATTGCCCCAGACACACCCAGGGATCCTCTCTCTCCATACTCTTGTCTTGCTCAGTGCCCCAGGAGGCTGATCCATAAGGCTTTCACATCAACAGCTCCCTTGCCCTCATCTTTGCCTTGGATTTAGCACGTAGAAGACATGAGGAGACCGGAGAGCAGGAAAATGAGGAAGGGGAATTTCCCCCACAGCCTGCTCCCTGCACGGGCACCAGAGATACGCTGTGTCCCCTCCTGCTGGGTGCCCGCCGCCCCACCAGCTACTCTGTCTGGCTTCCTGTGACGGCTCTCTCCCCTGTGCCGGGCTAGCGCCGGCCCCTAATAACCTCATCCCCTTCTAGAACTCCCCTCAGCCACCCGGCTGGAGTGTGCCACAGGTTTTCTGCTGGGACCCAACTTTTAACCATTTAATCTAATTCTGAGTTTCTGAATACTGCTTCAATTAGTGGGGACCCATTTTGAATCTCTGTGCCATCCTCCAATTGACTGGCCATCCCTCCCAGATAAATTTCACCCATGAACTTAGTGCTCACCCTTTGATGTTACTATATCAATACAGCAAAGTCAGAATGAAGGCAGCACACCACGTAAGAGAAAGTCTGTGTGACTTTCAGATGCTGTAGGCAGACGCTAAAAGTAGCCAACTGGTGTTATTATTCTATACTTACAATGGATTCAGCCCCCCAACAAAAATATGGACTGAAAACCTCAACAGAGCAAAAACTTCAGCTTCTTTGTTCCCTTGAAAGTTCTATCGTGGAGACAAATGAACTATTCTTAACAAATGTGTAAGCCAAATATCATGTTGTTCTCCTATTTTTATAGACTTATACAACATTCTCAGGATTTGAAATGGACATTTTAACAATCTACTCATGATGAATATGAAAAAAAAATGTTTGGTACAACTAAGAAAAAAAAACAGCTGTTCTTGAATTCTATAAAATGGTGTTGTTTCCTAAGGCCACATGAAAAGTCTGAGAAACTTCACAATTCCTTATTATCTGAATGAGAGAAAGCAGACTTTTCTGCTAATAGATTCTCTGTGAATCCAACAACAGCTAAACTCTTTTCACAGCACAGGGCATAAGTAACTCTTGACCTAGCTCAAGAAATACACATCTACTGTTTGCAAAGCCATTGACAAGACCTAGCAGTGAGCACTTACCTGAAAGCGGGGGAGGCTCTCGTTTTTGCTAATTTGAATATATCTCCAAACAAGTCACTTAATAACTTCAAGCACATCAACACACACAAGGGTTTGCACCCCACAACACTGTTTATTCCTCTTTTAATGGTCTCTATAAATATGGTTAAAAATTTTCCCCAGAAAAGTTGTTCTACCTTTGGGTAGGTACTCTGCCTTTTCTTAGCCTAGCTCATCAAAACACCCAGAACTGAGATTCTGCAAGAATCATGCTATTAAAGTAAGGGCACACATGGGGCGTCTGGCTGGCTCGGTCAGTATAGCATGCCAACTGTTGATCTTGGGTTGTGAGTTTGAGCCCCACACTGGGGGTAGAGATTACTTAAAAATAAAATCTTAAAAAAAAAAGGGGGGTGGGAGGGATATCATCCAGCATCGTATAACTGGCTTTGAGGGATACTTAGGTTTTTTTCTTCCCTACCCATCAGATCAGGATAAAGCATAAAGAGGAGCAATCCCCACTTCACCTCACACATCTTTCCATCAGAACAAAATCAAGTATGAAATTCATATCCCACTGTGGAAGGCATCACTTTGTAAGTCAGAATACGGAGTATCAGTCACATACACAGTCGCACACACAGCAATCTGATGCCTCCATTTTAGGCTTTTACAAGATCTTTTCAACACAAGAGGATTTCCACGCATGGCTTCCGCCACAAATCCGTATCTACTCTCTGTACCCTACTCACACGAAGCATCTATATGACGACACTGATTATCCTGCCCATTTGCACAATGAAAGCCATAAACCATTCTGTCCAATTCATCTCTAAAGGCAGGAGAGTTTTTCTCATCCCACATCACCCACCCTCCTGAAACGGCAGTTTTAAATGCAGTAATACATCAACTTCTTAATGGCAATGGATTATCATTTACTGTTGAAAGCAATCACGGATTCATTGGTTCCTTCCCTCACGCTTAAGTTGGCTTCTTGGATTATACTTTTATCAAAAGAGCTGCAAAGCACAATCCACGTACATACAAGACTTGCTCGGTGCCCTCAAAATGTCAGTGACTACTGTCACTGCTCTGAAAAGGCAGGGGTGTCCCCGACTGCCATACACCGGCCCTGGAAAACAATCAGTGAACACTGCACTATCAGGAACTTGAAGGATCCTCATGCTTCATTCCCTTCACCCTGAAAAAAAAGGCAGAAAATATGCCTCCTCGGGGCCTCTTACAGGCGGAGGGAGACCCACACCACGGCCACTTATTTTTTTAGGCTCCCAGGAAAAAGAAGAAATGCCAAAACTGAGTTATAAAAACTGTGGTATTTAAAGCTGTACAATGAATATATTCGTTTCGTCCTGCCAGTGCCTTTCATGACTGTATTTGGAGATATTGTCAAACCATCAGAAATCTA